CTTCAAAAGAACATGTTGCCATCCATCCACCCATCCATCCATCCGTCCATCCATTCCAAATCTCGCCGCATCCTTGATAGGCACTGTTTAAATTCCGGATGAAGTGAAGCGTGACGCCAAGATGCTTTCCTCAGCCTCTTAATTCCACGAGCCTCTTTGGGCGCTCAGGGTCCCGAAGCTGCGCTTTGCAGAGGACCAGCGCCTTGGACAAAAAAACATGATCGGAGGGGGGGCTGCTCTGCGGGGGCTGCATTTGAGGACTCCGGCGGCCCGGCGCAGATTCGCGCCGTGCTCGGCTACGTGAAGCAGCTTCCTGCACCTTCTTTAAGCAAGCTTGCGAGCTGCTTGGCGCGACCGGTTGCAGCTCCAGCCTTGTGGCTGAAGTCCTGCGAATTTGCAAGCGCTTCCACCGAATATGCATCGATGCAGTCCTGTCACGAGACTCTAAACGTTCGAACTCTTGCCAAGGACATATGACCGTAAGGCCTTAATGTCGGCAGCCACGCCGTCTTGTAGATTCTTTCGCCTCCAATGCAGGGCTGAAGGCTGCATGGCGCTAATGTCCCACAGCAGAAGCCCTTGTGCAAAGCAGTGAAAACATCAACCAGCACACGTACAACAACGAGCACAGGTAGGGACTGGCTTGTGGCACGGGCAGGCTTCAAGAAGATGCAGGCACAAGTATTCTTTCCATGCTGGCCAAGTCCAGTCACAGTAAGGATTTGAGGCAAAAGACACAGACACAGCACACAGGGTGACCCATTGCCACTGTTCAAAGCTGCCAACGCTATTGAAATGTCCAAGGGACATCCAGTAGGATGCCAGCGCTGAAGACGGCCTCTGACTGGATGAGCATGGAGCGGAGCTGTTGGAATGTGCGTCTCAGGGCCCAGGCGGTGGCTCATCCACAGGAACCTCCGGCTCGGGGCTTGCAGCCCCATCCTCAGGTCTTGGGTTTGGGAAGGAGAACCCCACGGGGCGTCAATTACAGGAAATCCTGCTGCCAAGCGTCGAACTTGCAGAACTGTAGCGGAGATGATAATGCAGTTTTCATCTATGTTCACACATACATTTTTGCCATTTTTTGCAATCGACATGCGACCCAACAAAGACCTCGTCAAGGCCGGCGCACTTATCGAAGAGATGGCCCTAATGTGTGACAAAAATCCCGTCATCTGAGGTCTAAGCCAAGTCCTCGCCATCTAGCCGGCTGAGATCCGGCCTCTTGGAAAGAAAGCAATTGAGACTCAAATCTATGAGGGCGAAAGGATCTCCTCGTTTCAAATTCAGGTCTCCCAGCAGTGTGCTGTAAAGATATTGCGGAACTCTACGTTCCCGATCCAAAAACCAATACTTTGATGCTTCTTTGCTCACAGACGTTAGCATTCAGAACTGCCACAAAAGCAGCCCCTGAGGGAAGCTCAGGTGGGCCAGGAGCTCCGACAAGTAGTCTCTGGCCTGCACTACATGAAGACAAAGACATGTCATGCGGCTGTAACTCAAAGTTTCCAGAACACTTGGCATCTGTGAAAGCGAATGCTGCTTGCACTCAAAAACCCCTGGGCTTGCGCATGACGTGGGCAACGTGTGGCTCAGAAACCAGTATCACACAGCTTTCATACCCGTTGTTGACCTGCCTAATGCCCCAAGGGCGATTCTGATGAAAGGCCAGTGCCAACAAGCAAGGCATGGATGCTTGAATCATAAGGCTGCTGCCTCCACGCAGGCGTTGCCGCGCAGGTTCAACATGTTGATCTTCCTGAGTGTTTGGGGCTTCATGCAAACTGACCACCATGGCTATGCTTCTCCTGCCAAGCTTCTTCGGCAACTGCTTCACGTCGAGCATGGCCTCATGACTAAAGCGACTTCTACAAGTGAGAACCTTCACAGATCCAGCAGCTCGAGACAGACTTGAAACGGAGCCCGCCGAGGACGGCCGAGATTTGGAGCTTCAGGTCTATCCCTGGAGACTAGAAATCCTTGTCGCATCTCGTGCACGCAAAAAGAAACAGAAGACTGGGCTCCCGACAATTTCATTTCTAGACAGATCCTGGCTCTTTCAACAACACTGTAACATGACCTAATGAGAGTACGAATCGCAACAAAGGAAAATTATGTGAACTTCTGTCCAGAAACTCCAGCTCAGGAAGGCAGAGCAGGTTCTCCACCACGGCCTGAAGTCAAGTTCATTCCGTCTTCAACGAGTCAAGTCGAGTCTTCAAACGTCTACCAAAAACTCATCTTTCACGAACTCTTCTCTAAGAGCTTCCCGCAAACACTTCCTGACGCTTGGCTCAGCTTGGGCTCCCGGCAATTCGGTTGCATTGCAGAGCCAGGAATTGAAGCCTGCTGTCCAGTGGACTTGAAGCAACTTGAGGATCTGCAAGTTCCAAACATTACTAGTAGTAGCTTCCTTTGCTGTGTTCTTGCTGCAGGCTTGGGAATCTAACTTTCATGCAGCTGGATGCCAAGTGCTTCCACGGGATCCCGCTAATTTCTCATGCCTGGGCATGCATTCCAAGTTCTCGATGCGCTCGATTCGGTTGGCTTGTAAATACAGCACCTGCCCATGCCGCTCACAGCAGGGGAAATCGGATCAGTGGCCAAGGGGGGCAGCATGCCTCGGCGGACTCGAATGGCTCTAGGCCACAAATTTCCGCGAGGCCCTGCCACTGCAGATGAAGCCTTGGTGGAAAAATCTCAGAGGCCACCGTTTAACCATGCATTCTCATGTCAAGTCACCAGATCCCTGCAGAGAGTTCAAAACTAATAGAAATCGGTCTTGCTGCATTGCAAGAAGTTCTCAAGCCGTCAAACCCAAACATCAAATCTTCATACCTCACTGCTCAAGCTCTTACTGGAGCAAGGATACTCCGTGATCCCTAGATCACCGCACTAGCCAAACAAGTCCTTGAAATATGGAACCTGACAGCAGCGCGGGCCAATGCCGGAAGTCTTTGTACGTCAAGAGCCGCAGCAAAGTTGACAATCCTGTACTGATTTCACAACCGTCGTTGCTTGCCCTGATACTGAAACCCATCCCTCCCGTCCCCCTTCCTGATAATGAATGAACACTGGTCCTTACTAGGATTACTAGTTTGCAGGACATGAAGTGCCTGTTGTCTGTGCAAGCCAGCAGTCTCTCATTCAGAAACAACAGAAAGTCTGAATTGCAGTCAGATCTATTGGATTTATGGGGGTGTTCTGTTTCAGTTCTAGCAAACCGACCGCCTTCTCATTGGCAAGGGCAAGGAGATCCCGGTTGGACTTTGCAAGAATCATTTGTATCCATTGATAACGTGTGTTAGAAAACTAGGGAGAAAAGTAGGAAATTCAGGGAGCCCTGAATGCCCACTGGATTTCCTTTCACCTCTTGTATCTATCTGCCTGCGCAAGCCTTGAACCGAAGTTGAAGATGTTTTCAAAGTCTGTCGATACAACCTAATGCTTCAAGGAGTTAAAGGGGAAAAGGGCCAAGTAGCCGCTGGATGAAACCATGGAGTGGCCCTTCCACAACCAAACATTGAGTCACCCCCACCTCTTGCTGCAACCCGAAGCCACTTGAGTCAATGCCACGGATTGATGCGGAAGGAAACTTCCTGAGGGCTGGGCGATTTAAGAGCCCGCACACGCTCAAGTGCTTCATCCTTCCCCACGAGATCAGTAAGGAGATTTTGTTGCATTTCTGTCTGCCTAGGCCAAGATTCATGGGTCCTCGCTCATCTGGTCATAGGCATGGAGCTCCGCCTGCTTCAAGACTCGGCAACAACTGTGGAGCAGAACATTTGCAGCAGCAAGTGCGGCGAAGAGTCATAATCTGCATCAGGTGTCAGGCTTATGGCTATCCCTCACGACGAGCCACCGGTGTCAGCGACAGCTCCATCGCCAGGCGCAGTGTAAGCCTTGGATGGCAATCTCTGGCTGACTTGTGAGTCATGAAGGCAGATATTTTCCACTGAGCAAAAAGACATGACATGAGTTACAGTAAACCGAATCCGGGTGCCCCTGCTGCTTTGGGGGCTTGTCATCCCAAAGCTGCGATGGGTGGGTGATCTCTGGCTCCTGAACTCGAAACATGCATCCCCAAATCAAATTCAGGGCATCTTGAGCGCAAGTTGGAGCGAGCTTGAGAAAGGTGAGGCTCCTCGCCCTCCTCCATTGCGCCTGCTACTGAGACTCTAACCTCCTAGACACATTTCCTTCCAAGTCTTTGTTTGTTTTATCCTCCAGGCCAGCCTAAGCTGATTGAACTCATTGCACAGGCAGTGGGGATGGTCGGCTGTGAACCGCAGGGCTGACAACATTGCCTCACATGGAACATGTCGACTAAGACGTCTACAAGCTGAGTCCGTGTGTGGAGACCTGTCAAGGTGTCTGGCTCCAGTTCTGCTTGTCGATCGCCAACGCAAAACTTGCGTCTGTTCATGAAGTGAAACGCAAGACCGCTCTTTGCAAAGAGAGGGTCTCTGAAGGACCTGCGAATTCCAGAGCAGCTGTTCAGAAGCCCTGCCAGCTAAGCCTAGCGGCCTAGCATATCTGGCGCACCTGCAGATCCTCCACAAAACTGCCGGACACCGCACGGCTTGCAGATTCCGAATGAGAGACCCTTCAGGATGTGACACAGACCAGGTTGTTCGAGTACAGACATGAAGGGTCTATCAATTCCTCTGCACCCGCACCACGGGTCCACGGTCGCAGGGGAGTCGCTGCAGATGGAAAGGGATTTCGGAAGCCATAGGCTTGATGAAAGCTGTGCAACGCAGGGATCTGAACAGGACTGCTGCAGAGTGATCCAGGCCAGTGGCTGCAAAACTGAGTAAAATTGTCGCCTGGGCGTTCGCAAGGGCGCCCAAACGCTAATCTCAAAATTTCTCCGTGCGGAAGGCAAGAGAGGTCTGATTTTTGTGTGGCTAGGGCTGTGGTAGGCTGCTTGGCTTACAGATTCTCCCAGTGGGAGCTCTGCTTGGCTCCAGATTTCCGCTGAGGGCAAGGCATGCCCCTCAGAAGCATGGCCTCGGCTTGCATTGCGCACCAAAAAAAAACTCAAATGATACTCTTCATTTGTATCACAGCTCATCTGGCATGGGACTGGTCCACTCTTGATGGATTGTAGACATGTGCGTTGCTCTGGGCACTCGCGCTGGTTCCACAGGATTGCCAGCTCAGAGACCTCGCCCATGCAGAGGGCTTCTCGGACGAGAAAATCAAGTTGGTGTTACATTATCTAGGATCTGTTCCAAGGCCTTGAAACCTGCAGAAGCCTCCTAGGGGCTTGGAAGGGACGTCAGCCTCCTAAGGGCCTGAGATGTCAGGTGGGCACCGAGCCGTCAAGCCACAAGAAGAGATCAGTCTATTCCGCAGGTCTGCGATTTTACAATACAGCCATAACATGCATAAAACATGACTGCCTGCCAGGGATACTCGAGGTCGAGCTCGTCCAACTTTGGGTTCCTACACGAGTACCACGGGTAAGTGCATCCAAAGTCTGCAAGACCCTTTGAATTCTCATGTTCAGCAAGGCCCCATCCGCTTAAAGATGATTTGGGGCTTTTGTCTTGCTCAAAACATCTTGGAACTTCGTCCTCGAGTGAGTCCGGCTCTAAGCCATGCTATCTGCCTCGTCACGGCCATGGCGTAGCACACTGTTCGAATGTCGTCCACCGCCTAAATAAGCCAAAAGCCAAAAAAAAACACCAAAACCACAGGAAGTGACTTCGAGCGTGACCGGCTTCAGGCCCGAGCACCCTCCACGATCTCACCCTCTGCATCTCGCAGGCAATTGACCTTTGAGAGAGGCGGCACCAAAACGCTTCCTTCCTGCATTCCTGCAGCTTGCTGAGGCCCAGCCTGCTGCATGTTGAACGTCCAAATGAAGCATGGGGCGCCCTGACGCAGGCTAAGCAATGTCTCAGTGGTTGAAGCAGCACGCATGCTGAGGCAATGCTGACGCAATGGTGACGCTATGGTGACGCTATGGTGATATTGTCTTTTGACTGCAAAGAGGCTTGGCCTGCTGGGCTATAACCTCGTGCCCGGTTGGCTCTCCAAGATTTAAATGCTGGCAAGGCCTTGTTCAACTTGCATTAGTGACAACATGTGACGTCTGCTAAATGGATAGAAAACTTGACACTCCGCCATGTTGAAACATCCACTTGGCAAAACTGAAGTTCATGTCTCTGCACATCCGCCAAGAAGTGCCTGCTCCATCAGCTTGGCACCCTTGAGCTCGATCTTGCGTTGCACATGCTTCAATTAAGGCTTTGCCGCATTCAAGCTGCGGCAGTGTTTGCACAACTTGCAAGAGTTGACATGACTTGTCCACTGTAGCTGTTTTTGGCAATCTGACATGTGCAAGTTGGTCAGAACTCCAAACCTCGGCCCCTCCGTGCCCACACTCACAAAAAAATGTCGGCCCTAGGGAAAGACACCTCTCGCGGTCCGGACAAGATCTTGGTGTCCAGGGACATCTTCAACTTTTTCCTCTCCTGCCGCACTTATGCTGCAGTATCAGCTGCGTGGACTCTGCCAGGAAAAGTGACGACGGTAGGCCAGTAACTGCCCATGCCCTGAAATTTCAGCCACAGGGTCCTTGATGCCTGCATTTACCGCAGCGAATGCGGCATCCCCGCAGTGCTTCTCCAGGGCCTTACTCAGAAGTTTCAGAATTGGCCGGTAATATCGACCTTGAAGCTCAGATTCATAAACCACGCAAACTGCAAATGCCCTTTGAGCCGGAAATTCATCATCCTCCGAAAACAGGCTCCGGGATAAAGCACGTAGACCTGGGGGCTGGTGGGTGAGAATAACAGGTGTTTTCTCTTGTGTTCCTTGCATCCTCTTCCACCCCCATCTTGCTCCCAAATTCAGTCACAAAGCAAGCTGGCGCTCAATTGTTCTCTATGCTGGCACCAAGTCTCTCAGCCTCGCCTCAGCCTGCAGTAAATCCCCTGATCCAAGAAGCCCTACTTCAAACCGAATAGGCGGGTGCCCGACGTCTTGGTCACCCTCCAGGTAGCACCGTATGATGTGCGGGGCAACAATGTACTCCATGTCCTGCTCAGCAGCTTCATAGTTCCCTGAATACGTCCACTCAGGCCTCTGGGGCAAACCCTCCAAACAAGGATGCTTCCGCAACCTCTTGCAAACTTTGAGCACGCATCCACTGTTCTGCAAACTACAGCACTGCAAGCCGTGCCCTTCTACGAGGCTGAGACCGGTTTCCATTAAGATTGCCATGTGCGGGCCACTGAAAACAAATGCAGCGTGGTTGATCTCCGAGTGGGAGCTGCCCAGGACAGCCGCAAATGGAGCTTCCCGAGAAAGACGCCCAGCAGACATGGACAAAGATCTTTGCAATGTGGAACACACCGTTTGCGCTCAAAGCAGCAAGCATCAACGCAAAAGAAGGTTTAACTGTGCTCTCTGGTGTCTTGATTGCCTTCGAACGTGATCAAACCAACCAACCCAGACCCGCGGCACATCCAATTCAACCATAGTGGCAGCAACTGCACTCGACCTTTCCATGCCTGCAAGAAACCAAGCATTGGACCCTGAGCTCCGGATGGTGAAGTTCACTGAAACTGCATCGCAACGTCTACAAGCCAAAACTAAATGTTGCCTCGGCGAACTCTTCGAGCCGGAAGGAGTAATCGATCTCCTGGCCAGAAATGTCTACAACCGCGGAGGTATGTATGTAGATATTATTCAATGGGTTTGCCCAACAACCCAATCAGGTGCAAACTCCTCTGCCTGTGTTGTCTTGCACTTAAGGTTGTGGGCTTCGAGCTACTGGCATAGGGCCAGGCTTCTTGCACACAACTTCTCAAGGTCGAGCTGTCTAGCCCTTGGCAGTTCTTCAGGCTACTATGCTACATACAAATGCCTGCCACTCTAGGTACTGGGGCATGGCCGTAGTAGGTCCGAGTTGCACACCTCATCAACACCCAAAGGAAAGAAATGATAGCTTGCGGCCTGTAAGCTACCTACAGCTGCAAGACGGCTGTAACTAGCTGAAGCTGCTTTACGAGTCACCCCCAGCTGCAGCTTCCCAGGCATTGGCAGTTCAATTGAGGACACTGTTAGCCTTAAGAGCCAATTGATTGGGTCCTGGGCACGCATGTGACCCTGCCAGAAAAACACAGACCGAGAGAGATCCGTTTTGTCCATGTCAGGCAGAGCTTCTTTGGGGCTGACAGCTCGTATCAGCACGCTCAACGGCACATTGTCGTTGATTTGAGCTCGCCACATAGGGGCTAGCATCCGGAAAATCTAACCTTCCAGAACTTGGCTGCTAGTTTGCTTCTCTTGCTCCTGTGCATACGGCTCTTGAATCCTCCCCGTCGGACAAGCCCTGGTGGCAACGGAAGCATGATAACAAATGGACCTCGATTCTCTGGTCACCCAGCTTCAGCACCTTCAGCACCTTCAGCCTTCACCACGGGTTCCCATCAGAGACTGGGAGCCAGCTACGGCGGCAAGGGTTTTGAAACCCAGCATCTCCAAGCAAAAAAGCATAGAACGGAGAACCACAACCTTGACTCAGCCTTTGGGCAAATCGTGGGGACCTGAACCATTCTCCATCTTTCTCACCTCGGTGCATAAGAAATAGTCAAAGTTCTCAAGGCCTGGAGCTGTCTTGCAGACAAGGAGCTCGGTCTGAGTGAACATGACGCTCGGTGTCACCCCATTCGCCCCTTAGACCGGCCAGGCATTCATGCACTGAACAAACATCACGGTAAGTTTGGTACAAGTACAAGTGCTGAATGTGTTGCGGCACGTGCTGCCTTACAGACATTGAGCTACCAAACTTTCAAGCCAGGCTGGCTGGCATGGATCAAGACTTCTGCACGCGAGCCATGAATGGAGCTTGGTTGTTGCAATCCTCTGAAGGTGCTTGGGGTTTACGAGTTGAACTCCAAAGTCGAGTTGAGAGTAACTGGCGAACCCATACGGCTGCAAAGCTCTGCAAAGCTCTGCAAAGCTCCGAACCCTCTCGCAAACCTCACCACGTAGGCGCCGTCAGAATGCACCCCGAGTACCTCGCAGCTGAGTCACTCAATGTCCAGACGTTGTACCGTTTCAAACCCGAATTGTTTCTTGACAAACGGCGGCTCCAGTGGCTGTTGCTGTTGCTGCTGCCGCTGCTGCATGCATGGTCTCACAGCCTTCAACTCGCTCCCCCCATGTAAAGCTGCTCCCAATCGAATTGAAGCAAGTCGTTGATCCAGAACTGTCTCTGGTGCCTGGGCCGGCAGCCAGCGCTTGGAAGCACGGCGGCCTCTGGAACTGTTTCGGGGTCTCCCCGGCTCTGGGTCTTTGGGCCACAAAAAATTCAGTCTTCAAGGACATTTGCATGGTCAGGATCTTGAGATGTTGAAATGGTGTGACCATGAAAGCGTCCATTGGCCTGGCAAACTCTTCATTCCCACGCAGCATTCTTGCCAGTCAAGTACCATACAAGCGGAAGACAAGACTAACTCCTCTCTCTCTACATACCCTCGGGTATTGTGACAGAGGGGCAAGCCTTCTCAGAACCCATTTCAAAACCAGTCCCTAGCATAACTAGCATAATTCAACAGTAGGCCGTCTTGAACTATCAGCACCACACGGGAGTCCTGAAAGCCCGGCCTGAGCCCAGCGTCCAACTCACCTCCACGTGCGTCCCCAACGGCAGGCATCCTTGATGCATGTGGCACACTTACCCAGGTCTGGGCCTATTGCGCCGCAATATGCCGCAATGCCTTCTGGCACCGCCGGGTTCTCCAGCTGGCGCACAACTTCCTGAGCTTGCACAGTGTACAGCCCAACGCAGGATAGCCTGCTATGATGCAGCCCCTCTCGGGGAGGGGCCTTGGGGGCGCGACATTTGACGCCGCGCGATCCGCGGATACCTGCGTCCCCCTTTGGTGGGAATCCACCAGACTACAAATCACTGCGGACGGTTGCTATCTACATCGTCAGAGCAGGTGTTGAGCTGGCCTGTTCACTTAGGTAGCATGGTGTGGCAAGTGTAGGTGCCTGCTGTGCGACGTTGGGCCTGGGTGATCCCCACGCCAGGGAACCAGCGGTCAAGTGACGCTCTCTATGTCGGGGAGATGGGCTACATGTTCGCCGACTGGCTAGCAAGAGGGTGTCATCCCCAGGAACGGCTCTTGCACAGCTCCGGTTGGTTTCTATGGTCCTCATGTGGGACATCTGCATGGCTGTGCAGAGACGGGTTTTGAGCCCAGCTTCCACGCAGGAGCACAGGTTTCGAATTGGTTTGTTATCGGCCGTGTGCTCGCTTTCGTACAGTGCCACGTCGACTAGTCCGGCTACTTCGGCTTTGCACGAACTTTGTGCAGTGTAATTTTGTTCATGGACCACACGGCTCTTATTACGTGCTCCTCACACTCCGGTCTGCGGAGGCTCTCCACCTCTGCCGACCTCTGGAAGGGCTGTGGAACATGTTGCCTACAACTGATGTTCATGGCTTTCACACATCTGGATCCGAAGCAGGCACCTAAAACTTCTTTTTTTTGCGGCTTCTCACTTATGTGCCATAGTCTAAACTCCAAGTATCCCCCTTACTGACCCCTATAGTCCCCTACAAACCCTCGTTTAAGCAGTTTTGACCATGGCTCACCTGGCAACAAGGTGATGGAAATCCCACAACACACCTCAGCAAATCTTATGGAATTGAAAACGGATTCGTGCACAAAAAGCTGGATTCGAGCACCAGCATTAGCCCAGGATTCACATGCTGCTGTCGGCGGATTCGCGCACGATGGATTTGCGCACCAACGGATTCACGCACCAGAACAGCCTATTGTCCGCGCACCAAGGATTCGCGCACAGGCTCGGCGATTTGCGCACCTTAAAAATAATGGTTCCGGGAACGAATTTGCATAAAACAAGAGGATTCGAGCACCAAAGTAGCCCAGGAAGTTTAGGTTTCAGGTTGGCGGGGTGCTAGGGCTGGGGGGGGTGTTCTAGGGTTTTGTTGTTTAGGTTTCGGGGGTGGTTCAGTGTTTAGGGCTTGGGAGTGTGTAGGGTTAAGGGTTGTGTATGTCCCTTTGTCATTCTCAAAAATTTTCACACCACATCCAACCCTAAATCCTAAAAACATGCCCTAAATAGCCAAAAAAACCATAACACTGAAAAACAATGAACCCTAAAAACCCTGAACCCTAAAAACCCTGTACCCTAAAAAAGTAAACCCCAAACGCCCTCAACCCTAAAAAAAGCAAGCCCTTTAAAAAAAATGAACGCGCTAAATTGAAAGACCCTGAACCCTAAGCATGCTCTTCCCCAAAAACCTTCAACCCTGAAAAGACTAAACCCTGAAAGCCCTAAACTCTAGACACCCAAAAAACAAAAACAAATATGACCCTAAACACGCTAAACCTGAAAGACCCTAAAGCCTAAACACGCTATACCCGAAAGAAAAAAAAAACTTCAACCCTGAAAAATGCTAAACCCTAAAAACCCTAAACACGAAAAAACCCTAAACCCTAAAAACACTATTCCTTAATGACCCTTAAGCTGGATCTCTAAAAATTGCGGAAACCTATGGGTCTGGGCGAGCCTAAACCCTGACCCAAACCCTGAACTCCCGCCACCGGAATCCCGACCCCTGAAAAGGTTTGTGCAAAACTAAACCCTGACCCAAACACTTAACTCCCACCACCGAGACCCTACACCCTGAACACCTCAAAGCACTAACCTCTTCACGCCCCCACTGCCGAACCCTAAGAACGAAACCCTACATGTGTCTCCAAACCCGAAGCGCACGCGCGAGCCCTAGACACTAATACCCCTCGTGCATGTAATTGGGCTTTGCAAGAGTTTGACACGGAGTGGTTTGGTAATTTAAACAGAATGGCAGGGCGCTGGAATCAAAGCCTTTGTGCTCGAATCGGGCTGGTTTGGTGCTTGAATTGGGCTGCCTCAATCGGACTGTTTCTGGTGCTTGAAATCTTGGTGCTTGAATCGGTGGTGCTTGAACCGTTGGTGCTTGAACCGTAATGCTTGGATCGGGGTTGGTGCCAGAATCGCACTGTTTCGAAACTCATGGACAAGGACCTGAACCTGCCCTCTGATCTCAAGGTTGATCGTGCCTACAACACCAGCTCTGCTATGATACAGCAGTACTACGCTTGCTTCAGTCTGAGAAAGGATCAACTTAGCAAAAGTTGGTCTTTACGCAGTGCGCCCACTCAGGAAGCTCACCAACTTTTCCGATGTTGTCAAACATTGTCGTGCTTCATTCCTTGTTCAGTCTTTGAATATGTGCACCAGCACCGCGCAAGGGTTTTTGCTAGTCATCACTTCGATGCTTGTGTTCAACTTGTCGATCGAGGACGCCTGGCCTGTGGAGCGTGTGAGTGAGCGAGTGAGTATTCAGTTCCAGCATGCAAAAGCATGTTACATTGAACATAGGCCGAGATAACAACTTTAGACTAAAAAAGGTCAGCGATCGCATTCGTTCATGGGCCATTCCTACCTTTATTCAATGAATGTCAATGTGTGGTTAGTATAGTTTTCCAAAATCTTGCCCAGCTGCCGGCTGCTCTTGAAGAAGCTCCTCTGCACATTCACCTGTTGCATGCATTCTTAGTGTTGTTGTGGCTGGCCCCATGTGGGATGCCTGGCCAGCAATGCAACCGCATAACAATATTGTAAACTGACTTGCATCTGCGTGGCGCCACACCGTTGTAGCCTTCGTCGCCACCTGTGGAACCCTTAACAGCATGCTTAGTTATGGAGAACGCGATATGCAAAATACGGCATCTGTTGCAAGGATGCTTAGTGGCTGTTCAGCAACTGCACACCGGATCACTCCTGAAGCGACGCTTGTGACATCGTCATACGTGTTTTCTGACTCAGGGTGTCGTCTGAAAGAACTGAAGCGCACCTTGTAAATCCTGTAAGCCATTGATGACCTTCAAGCCCCCTTTGAAGCCAGGTGCTAAAGAAAGACACAATTCTACGCCCTTTTTCCTGAAGGGGCAACCCTGGCCGGCTTGGCACCTCCAAGACCTGCTTCACCAGTATATCCACCAACTCTGTCATGTCCTCTCAGCTTTATCTGCATGATTTTCGCCTATACAGTCCACAGTGCCCGCAATTAGAACAACTTATCACCAAACCCGTACCCAGGCAGCATCCTTCAACAAAGATTCTGCATCTTATCCTGGGATGTGCTCCTTGTCGCCAATGAGGATCCTTTTACCTTCTCTTCTGCATCCCCGCTCCTGGCATGGATCCAGGCAAATAGCTCGACGAGAAACCCAAATGCGCATCAGCGGGTGCTGCATATCTGCGTCGGCCTTACCGAAAGGCATTCGGAGGTTTCTGCAGGAATGCCCTGTGCCCCTCCCCGCATGTTAAATCCCAATTAGTGCGGGGGTCCCCAACAGCGCAAGTTTTTGGATTTGTTCTGGACCCCCTATTCGATTTGGTGGTCCCAATACAGTATTTTTTTCTGCCGGAAAAATTCTAAGAAGGTTTTGATGAGGTCAACATACTTTGAGTTTTAAAGCCAGGCCTCGACATGAAAAGGACAGGCTCTACTACCTCTCGAATCTGGAACCTGATGCCGCGACAAACCGTCGATTTCTTAAAGGGCGTGGAACTTGATGCCACCAAAACAATCAATTTCTTATCGAACAAGCTCTTCGAACAGGCTAGGCAATCAAATTCCGGGACCCCTGATCCCCAATCATATAAATGAAATGATATGGAGGGGCTCAATAATGAAAAGATTTATTGACCAGGTTAATGGGGAGGCCATTCTAGTTTGTTTTACTTGTTTTTTAATTTGATCGTAATTGTTTTTAATAGCGTCATGCCTTTTAACCTAAAGGCCGGGACTGTGCCCTTCCTTTTCTTTTGAAAGCGCAATTGAGCAAGGCCTTATGATTCATATAAACCGAAGGAATTTTCAATTGATTTTCAAAGGAGCCATAGGATCCCCCAGACCCCCAATTCGGTTGGCGAGTTTTTTAAGAGAGGCGTCCCTTTTTGTTTGGGGGGGTTGGGGGCCCCACACTATTCCGGCCCCAACATTCCTTCCCACTGCCCCCCTACCCTTCCGTCCGCCCAACCCCCTCCCTTCCTCGCACCTCTCGCGCATTTCAATGCACCCCCGCCAAGGAAGCCCTACCTCCTCATGCACCCTCTATTTAAAGGGAAACTTTAAACCCTGCCTTACCTGTCCAGATCCCTACACCTAATTACCCATGGAAATTCTTGCCTCTGTGCACTATGACTACTCCAATATCCCGTGCCCCTTGCCCATAACCCCTATTCAACCATTCTTCCAACGAAGGTGCCCATACCCCCCCCCTTCACAACCGCCACGCTTTTCCCCCCTAACCATTCCTCCCATTATGTCCGCCAGCTGCGCACATACAGCCGGCCGAGGCGGGGGCGCGAAGCGATTACACTGTACATGCAGGCTCCTCGTACTCTTCAAGGTCAGCAGTCCTGGACATCCATAGTGGATAGCCTGCAATTGCAAGGGCCTTGTGAAGGGGTGAAGATTGTTTGGGATTTTTTGGGGGTCCTCTTTTTATGGGTGGAGGCGGGGAGGTGTTATGGGGGGGATGGCAGGGAGCGGTGTTGGGGAGGAGGCCCCCCCATTTGTCAATCATGAAGATTGAAAGCAAGTGATGGAAAATCGTGAAACCATGGAAAACATCAAAAAATATGGAAAATCATGAAGCGGTAGAAAATGATGGAAAGTCACAAACGTCATTGGTAATTATGAAAGCAACAAAGGCAATGACACATGCTGGGCAATGTTGAAAATTGAAAAATGTTGCAGTATGGTGAAAAATGCATTGTGACGAAACGTGCCGAAATTGAAGCAGATTGATGAGAGATGGTGAGATATGATGCAAGATGTTGGAAAAGCATCAAAACTGCTGGAAGACCACGCACAGTCATGAAAAGGTGATGGAACGCTGTGGAAATGATGACACATTGTGGAAAATGGCTGTCAATGATACAACATAATGAAAATGAATTAAGTGATGTGAAACATGACTAATGACAAAATTAGGACTGGAACTGATGAAAATGATGAAGCTGTGCAACATGTTGCAAAATCTGACAAAATGATGAACTCATCTGGGATAAAGATACATTATGCTGATCCAAATGATCAAAGACGTTGACACGATATGGCGGAAAATGATGAAATCATCATGACATATCATAAAACATGATGAAATCGGACGCAACATTGAGCGAACCTGGAAAGTCATGAACCAGTGATAGACAATCGTGAGAAATCAAAAGATGATGGGAAAGGATATAAACATGATGAAAGATGATGCAGGATGACCAAAAGGGGTGAAGCATGATAAAAGATGGCGAAAATCATGAGACATGATGAAACATGGTGAAACATAATGACCTGTAATGATATGAGATGGGAAATGATGAGTAATGATAAAGCACGCTGGGAGATTCTGGCATGAATATAAAAAAATAAAACATGACGAGATATGATGAAACACATCGTCAACAAGCAGCAAGAATTACACTAATCACAAGACTAATAACGGCAGTACAGCAGCACCGGTCATAAAAGTAGGAGTTATCTGCAAGTAGCCTTTAGAAAACTATCCGAATAACCTTCTGTGGGTATTTCGTTCTTCGTGTCCTTCTTTCTTTACTCTCTCTTCTTTCTTTACTCTCTTTCATCCTGACTTCCTGCAACTACTAGATTAACTATTCCTATTGATCTTTATTGATTTAAAGCACATGCTTTGCAGCTCAAATGTCCTATCCTTCGGAATTGGCTGTGGATCCTGAGGGCACCACACTGGATTTGATCTTTTTATTCGTGCCGCCCAACCTCATTTCGACCATATCCGGGCTGGACTCGCTGTCATCGTCAGGTTTACTCTTCGTTGTCTGCGCCGTCTTAGCTTTTGCACAAACCCACTCTGGCTTTTGACTCCTGACAATTCCTGGGCTGCTGGACGGCTCTCTCCTCACTACGTTGTCTCCAGCTTCTTCTTCTTCTTCTACAGGCTATGCGACACCCGGAGGTGTCGCGGAGGCGAACCTCCAGCCCAAATGTCCGGGGTTCCTGGCTGGGATGGTTCGGCGTTCACTAGATCGTTGCGCAGAAAGACCCTAATCCCCTAGTGACATTACCCCGTCTGGTGCGCCTTTCCTTTCCCGGGAAAATGGTCGGTCAGGAGCCGAGGAAAGGTTGGCATGTAGAAATCTTACCCTCCCTTACCCTGTCATTTGATCTCCGCACGCCCCTTGCTTCTCATTGCTCCGGTGGAGAAATCTCAAACTCTATCCAGCTTTCCTATCCGACATCGGTTTATATATCTCTCTCTCTCTCTCTCTCTGCTGGCTTGCAAAGCTGTGTATCTCTCTCTCTCTTTCTCTCCGCGCATACTGCGCAGTGGCCCGGCCTGCTGCTGCAGGTAGCTGGAGAAGGCTTCCTGTCAACAAAACTGCCATGAAAGTGCGTTCTCCTAGCCTCACAGCAAGCACACAAAAATCCCCACATAGCCCCCGAACAGGCCCCAGCACCCTCTACCCCCTCTGCTTTCAATATACAAGAACCACACCCGCTCTGCCGTCTGGTAGATGACAACAATAATGCTGATACCAATCGCAAAATAGGACTCCAAGATGTTGCTTTGTCTATTGCTGCTACTTCCTGTTGTTGTTCGTATGGCGATGCCATGAGAGCAAACCCAGAAAAAAGTCAAGTGCGAAAAGTTGCGAGGAGTCCTGGAACTTGGCTCTCCGCGCGTCCCGGCTGGCGGCAGGACCAAGCTTCTCGGGCCTAATCTGTTCCGGAAGTCTTATGGGAGCTACTACGGGAGGATTCGCAAAATTGGTGGGCCCTTTCCAGGGGTCCCCTTCATGAGGATGGCAATATTTTCGTATGGATATCGGTGCCCCCATTTTCAGAAACACCCACGTAGGGAGGACCCCAAACTGAGGACTGTCTTAGAATCTCTTAGACCTCTCTCAGGTCGTGCCAAGGCTCCCGCATAATCCCACAAATTCTCCCCTTACATGAGGGCTTCCTGAAAACTTCCAGCAGCCAGGTGAAGCACTTCATGCCCCTTTTGATGGGCCCTCTGGAGGGACATGGATTTGTACTCATTTTTAAAGGAGGGAAGGAGAAATGCCGCGCTAGGTCTTTCTTACAACGCCCTTTACCTCAGCCCATCTCCTTGGAAGGCACATTTCAGCTTACCCATCACTGGGGGCGCAGCGTGCTCTGCGCCTCACCAGAAAAGCCGGGCTTCTCCTTGAGGGCCCCACGGAGTGATGGGCCAAGTGCCAAGTTGAAAGGCACAAAAAGAAAATGGAAATTACTATAATGGGTTATATAGGGGCTATAGGGTATATATTGGGGTTATATAGGGATAATGGAAAAGAAAATGGAAACTACTCTGTTTGGATTACCATTCCTTTGGGATCTTAAGGTGGTGAGCTGGCACGTCTCAGCAGTTTCCATGGACCACAGTACGGGAGGTTGGGACGATGGTCGGTCTGGAAGAGAGCATTCACAGGGCTTTAAAATTTTCACAATGCGCAAACCTGATCATCAACTCAAGATCAAAGCCCTACATAAACCTGCTACAGGAAGCATTTTCAGACGTACTAGGCATGACCAAGCTGTTGGGGCGTGCTGAGGACATTCGAATGGCGACGCCTCTCAGAGAGCTCACAGAGACGGCGACAAGACTTTGCAAGCCAGATACGGTTGATACTAAAAATCCTGCGAGTTAAGGGATAATGGAAAAGAAAATAGAAACTGTTAAATTATTTTGGGTTATATGGGGGGTATATAAGGATGTTAAGGGTTGTATGGGAGGTTATATAAAGGGGTTATATAGGGATAATGGAAAAGAAAATGGAAACTACTATAGTATAATGAAGTTTATTATAGGGGATATTTAGGGATATTATTCCCACTAAAAATCCCGCCAAGGCTTCATAATGTGGAAACTACTATAGTATACTATATAGGGACTATAATGGGGTAATGGAAAAAATGGCGCAAGTTAAGGAACCTATATCATGCCCCTATAATGGAGCATCAAATGGAAAAGAAAATGGAAAATGAAAATGGAAACCGGGGTAATATAGGGAGTTAAGGCTTCAAGGAATCACACGCCCCGAACCTTGGAATTGGGGATTTGGGGTGTCTAAGGGTTTAGGGATTCAAGGCTTTAAGGAATCACACGCCCCAAAGCTTGGGAAGTATGGCAATATGGTATACCAAGGTCCCCTAAACCCTAAACTCTAAACCCTCAACCCTAAACCCTGAATCCCTAAACTTGCAGGATATCTCGAAACAATATGGCCAAATCTCCCCCAGTCCTTGTCCAAAGAAGGTGGTCTCGGAAGCCCATACCTGGGGGGTTTAGGGGTTTAGGGGTTTGGGGGTGTAGGGGTTTAGGGTTTCGGGTTTAGGAGTTTAGAGGTCTCCCAGCAGCTTGCATTCTTGGGATTTAGGCTTTCCAGCTCCCCCCCGCACCCAAACCACAAGTTGGACAAGGGATCCCCCTAAACCCTAACCCTAAACCCTAAGCCCTAAATCCCTAAACCCCCTAGGCCCTAAGCCCCAAACCCCTAAACCCCCTAGGCCCTAAGCCCTAAACCCCCTAGCCATAAGCCCTCAACCCTAGACACCAAACCCCATGCAAAGATTTCCAGCTCTGGGCTCCAAGCACTTCCTCCCCCTGCGCAGGCCAAGTGTGGCTGGGTTGACGATGAATGCCAGTCAGTTGTTTAGAGCAACTTCTGCTGTTGTTTTTGTTGCCTGATTGTTCTAAGCCCTAATCATGATGATGATGGTGATGATAGGATAGGATAGGACAGGATAGGACAGGACAGGATAGTGATATGCAAAAACACCGGGCATTCAAAACAGACTCCAGCAAAACTCCTGCCTCGTTTGTCTGAAGCATACCCGCTGCGTCATTGAGTACTCCAGCTGTTAGCTGCACCTAACTTGCCAAAACACGTGCCTCGGGATCTCTGGAGGGGTCGGCGGCATTGCCTTCAAGCTGTTTGCGTTGGAGAGTAGGGACAGGTGGGACACTCAGAAATCCAAGTTTGGGCTGCGCCCATGTGGAAGGCTTCAGGCGTGAATAGAATAGAAGCAAGCACCGCAAGTTAACTTCGGTGTGCATTGCACAAGTATTGACCGATACAGTGAACCTCCTGATGATCAGGGGGTAAACCCACCAAGCCTAAGACGACAATGCATCCATACCAGCTTATCCCTAATTGATACTGCACGCTTGACTCATACATGAATCTGAGACTCGCATGGAGTGGGTACAGGGTGTAAGCACGCCCCGGCCATTGCGCCTGTTGCCCAATCCGCGAAGAAATTGATGACTGCACCCGCCTCGTCTGAAGGCAAGCTGCTCTACAAGCATCAGAGGCTGTGAGAAGCAGCACAAGCTCCCAACCTCCTGCAGTCTTCTGGAGAAGGTTGGAGCAGCT